AAAAAAAAAAAGAAAAAGAAAACTTCAGATGTATCATTCTTACTTCTTGTGAGATCTATCAAATATACTAGTTTCACTTTTTGAATTGAATTGTAATGTATTCACTTTTGGATCATTTATGAAGTTGTGCCTGTATTTGGATATTTACATTTCAGAGAGGAAAACTCTGTGAAAAAGGACACTTACCACTCCAGAGCCTCTTTTCATCCACACTATGGTCAGAGAAGGGTTTCCTGTCCACGCACAGTTGAAAATGGCCTCAGATCCCAGGTCAACTTGCAAGGACTGAGGTTCGGCAGCCATACGAGGCCCAACTGTTGGAATAAAAAACCCACAATAAATGATATAAAGTACTGATATCTAAGAATGAGCTCTGGAGCTCAGCAAAAAAAAAAAAAAAAAAGAAAAAGACAGCAAACATGTAGGACCTTGCATTATTGTAAAGTTGTTTATTTACACAGGCACGCTAGAGAATTTTATCACTCACAGTAGACATCGACGTTCCGACTGACGTTGGTGCTGCCAAGCGAGTTAGTAACTTCACAAGAAACAGGCTCTGTGAAGAAAGAGTGGTCCACGATAACCTCATAGGTGTCCCCCGAGACCTCCTTAAGCATGTTCCCGCCTTTGGCCCACCTGAGATGAAGAGCAGATGGTGGAAAAGAAGGAAAGATTGGTGAAGAACGAATGAATGGGTTAAGGGCAAAGACAGCTTTCTCCCATCCCCTTCTGTCAATATAGTTCTTTTGGGTGAATAAATCACAGTTCTGGGGCAGGTTTTCTACGCTGGCTTCAGCACATTTTTGTGGCAGCTCTCCATGCAATGACAAGCTTTCTGGCAACTCGGAGCAGACAGCACGTTCCTCATTACACCAGACAGAGAGCAGCGCAGAGCGCCAACCAAGACAAACAAATCACAGAATGACAAATAGGTAGCTCTCCCACCTTTGAAGACTTTGCTAGAGACATACTGTATTAAACACAACAGCTGACATTAATGAACTGACTTGGGATCACTTGGAAAACAAACAAAAGAAAAAGCATCTGCTTGTGTTTCTGAATGATATATTTCGTGACATGCCACATGTGTTAAGGTAAGACTTTGATGATGCCACGGGCAGCTGTGCCCCACTCTGCATGCATTGTTTTGAAGCTGCTTTCAGCTGCTTCAAAAGACAAGGCCCATTTATAAAAATGAAGAAAAGGTGTCTTCAGATGTATTGGTTCCCCTTAGAAAATTTAGATGGCAGCACCGTGGGACACCCAATGCATGATGCACGATGAAAACATCCATAGAAGACAAGTGTCTGCATGCTGATACGGCAAATGAGTACGCAATCGGCGCCTGTCTCAATTTTCTCTCTCTGCCGGTCCTGAAGAGAGTTTCCATGGGAGGGGAGCTAATTTGTTTTCCATGAGTAAGCTAGCCTCATGCTTGACTAAAATGCTATCATTTAAATGAGAACAGATTACCTCATTCAATCAGTAGCTCAAGTGAAGCAGAATTCTAATTGGGCGTTGCATTTTTTTTAGGTTTATTTATGTTTTTACAGCAGAACTGTTCATAACTTGCTTCTTGCCTGATGATAAGAGCTGCTCTGGTATTGCTGCACATAGACTAACTGTTGGGATCTGGGGTTGTTTGGTGTTTATTTCATTCTAGTTTGATCATTCGGTATTCTTCAGTTTCTTTTTTATTACTTGTTTCTGTTTGGCTTTAATTCAGTTCTTCCTTAGCGATTCTAGTTTATGTTTATATTTTTTGTGTAGTTATTTTTTGTTAGTCTAGTTAAATTGTTTCTTCGGTCTAGTTTTTCTTTAGTGTTAGACTTATTTCCTAGTTTGTGTACTCTCCCTCGCCCCCTGTGCCACTTTGGTTCTCTCTCCTCAATTTGCCTTGCACTCGCTCCTGTTTCAAATCAACCACCTGTTTCTTGTTTGGTAAACAACCTCCCCAAGTTACTCATGCTCAGTTTCTCCTTGCTGGTTCCTCCCATCACATCCCATTACTAACCCGGTCTGCTCTGCGTTCTCCTCGTGTCTCCTTGCTGGGTTTTTTTTTCTCCTTGGTTTATTTGTTTTGCTCTGGCTCCCTGTGTTTCCTGTGATTTCTGTAAGTGTTTTTGTTCATCATTTTTATTAAACATCCTTCATTTACAAGCTGCCTCTTCAGTTCTGCATTTGTTTCCATAATCAACCTACAACACATCATAAATTCAATTATAGTGCTCTGTTTTGCAGTGCTTTATGTGAATAAATACCACAGATTATTGTGGTAAATGTCCTAACTGCAAGTTAAACACTTAGAAAAATAAAACAGAGCAATACTCTGTTTAGCCTTCCTGTTATCTGCTGAAAGTCTTGCTCTCTCTCACTATTATGAAGCATAACATAACATAAAGCCAACCTATGAAGAGCATGAACCTGACACCACCATGCGTCATGGACAGGACAGTTTGTTCAGGGTCATGAAAACAAAAAATAAAATTTATATCTTATCTGATCAAATCACTTCCTTTCACTTCTTCTTTCACTTCTTCAAATTACTGCTGACAGTAAATTCATCTTTGTCTTTCCAGCTCATTATTATTTACTACTTCTTATTGATCTGTCTCATTTGTTCCAGTAAAACACATTGTACAGGGTTGTAACATGACTATATGCGAGAAGATCACAATGGATATACATCATTTTTGCAAGTTTATAACTACAAGTTGAATTGTTTCGTTTGAGCTACATATTTAGGGATACATTACACTGTAATCAGTACTGTTGTTTCACAGTTTGTTGGCTCTTGGCTATGTGAGATTGGCATGTCTAGTGCATTACTTTGCCTTTTACCCCTTGACACCTTGGATGCACTCCAGCACCTGCTTTAAAATTGATGCTGCATAGTCAAAACAAATTGACTGGACTTCACCCCTGAACATTAACTATGCAGTTTCAGTTTGCAGGGTGAAGTTGATCAAGATGGACTTTCAGAATAAGGTATTAATCACACTGGCAGTGCTGTAATCATAATGAGGGCACTGACAGTGATAAATGGTAAGGTAAAAATGAAAGTGACAACGTTGACAAGAAATAAAATAATAGTAGGAAAATTATTTTTTTTTTCTCTATGACTGCTTCCTGGACTGGTACCAGTTCTCAGAAAACCACCAAAGGTCTTAAAATCCCCCTTTAAAAAAATGTGTGAAATAACTGTAAAGACGGTGACACATGGGGCAATGAAATTAGGAAACAATGAAACTGTTTCTGCTGCCACTTTGTAAGCCAAAACTGCAGGAGTCATAATGGGTTAAGCACAGATGTTTGGGCAGCCGGCTGCTCCCGAGACGAGGTTGCAGCTGCCAGGTTAGGGAGCCCCTGACAGTGTTAGGGGGAACTGAGACTGAGACAGAATACTGTCATCCTCGGGGAGCAAGAGAGCTCTGTTGGTGTGCTGGTTCATGTCCAAAACTCATGTCTAAACATAGCTAGCCTTGGGTAACACAAACACCTGCATTCCCTTTGGGAGGGTTAAAGGGCCAATGCAAGGCTTGCTCAGTAGCTGACTCAGTCTACACTGCTGCGTTGTATTCAGGGATTTCATTCAGACAAAAGCTGTGAATTCTGTCTGCCTGGGTGTGTCCACAGCAGCATGGATCAGCATGTGCGTTACAGCTGTTTATGTTTGGTAAAAGGTGTTTAAATTAACACTCTTAGAGACATAAAAAGGTCTGCTGTTAATGGAAGCAGAAGATGAAACTGAAACAGAGAAGGAGATTTTGCATTTGCCGATCGTTATTAGGGCAATAAAAGACTAGCAATTAAATTAGGCGGATATCTGTGCCATCAGCTTCAAGGTGCACAGTAAATCAGGACTCATAGCTATTATCAACATGGTTAAGCACGGCACAGGGCCATTCTAGTCCACCTTCCATGCATTTTAAAACGGAAGATTTCTGTCACTGTGATATTGAAAATATGCAAGCTCAGTAACAGCGTCCAGCTCTTTTCACATAGCCGTAAAAAGATAGCATCTTTTATGATCTCGCATCAAGGTCCCCACTTGTAGCCCAGTATTTCAAAAGGGTACAAAAGAAAACAAATTAGAGAAACTTGAATGTCGACAGGCATGAATGATATTAAAGTAATCAGGAATACCATTTCTCTGCTGGACGTTGTTCATTTTTCTTGTGTAGTTGATTTATTTGCATTTTCCAAATATCTTTCATCATGATTTTATTGAGCACTGGCAACACTAACAGTTTTTTCCTTATTTGCATATTTACAAAAACGAAGAATGCAATTTTTCTTTTTTTATTATATTTTTATATTTCGTTTTCTACCAAGTACCTAAAGTGCTGATGTGCAAATAATTTATAAACAGTGGAAGGTTTTTCAATGCTTTGCATCATTAGGTAATACAACAATGAAATTTGAAAAAAACAAAACAAAAAAAAAACAACAACTACTTTTTGACTTAAAATAAGTCTCATGTACTGTATCAGCTATAGATGAAATAGGATGATAAGTTTGTAGAACTCTGCGAAGGCTTTCCAAAATGCTGACTTTGTTCACCAAACAAATTGTCCCACTAATTTAGCCCTTTGTGAGACAGTCATAACTGTAATGAGACATATTCTGGTGTTTTAATACCACAAGATCTCAGGTTTCCAGGAACTATGCTGAGAATCCCAAGCAATTACTTGACTTTTTGGTAAAAACAAGATGTAAAACGGTCTTTGTTGCCGTGTGTTGCTTGTACAAGGTGTCAGAGGTATTACAGAACAGTGAGTATACAGCAAGGTAGAGTTTTTAAATTAAAACATCCAAAAATTAGCACTGAAAACAAAAATGATATGTTGTATTACACATGGAGGTGCATTTTTAATTTCTATTTCCAAGTGAATAAGCTCCTACAGTGGACATGGATGTGGTTAACTCTACATTTATAAGAACTTTAGGATTTCCTATGTTAACCTTTGTATTGGAGCCTTTTTACCAGAATTGACCTCTTAGAGACATACCGGTTCTAAGATGTCTGAGACATTACTTTTTTCTTTTCAAAAAGTACATTTATCCAGCACTTTTCAAGTCTTCCTGAACACTTAAAACCCTTTCTCACTAGAGGTTACAATCAGCAGTTCACACACAGAGCAGCAGATTGGAGGTAAGCAAATGACTGCCTGTACTCCTGTTCTACTCTTTAAATCACCACACCTGGATTTGTTTTCTCATTCTTTTTTTTTTTTCTTTTTCTGAAGAAAAGTTCTGTGGAAAGATCAAAAATTTTTTCTCCAGCCTTAACACAGTTTCATTAAAATGCCGTTGCAGTCACCAGGGGTCGCAGGCAGCTGGAGGCGCTATGCTTTTGACTATTGCCCCGCAGTATCTTGGGTGTGTCTATTGGAAGATGTTACGATGGTGCAGTGCATATAGGGAATGGATGACTCTCTGGGGAACGGAAAAGAGCCCATCCGTCTAAGAACTACTCTGTCTTTGGGCTCTATCTGATCTGTGGAAGACAGTGTATTAGCACTGAATAATGGTCCCACACTGCTTGACCAGCTTTCTGCACTCCATGATGATCTTGCTCTCAGAGGGAGACTGCGTGCAGGCCTCTACATAGATGAGGTCCCCCAGGCAAGTATTATCATGGACGCTTAAAATTTCTTGTCTACTGTGCTGCAGAGGAAATGGCACAGCAAGGCGTTAGAGCATTGTTAAATCTAAACAGGTGACCATGAAAACCTGTTGAAGGGTAAAACCTAGTAAAAAAAGGTTATTAGATTTACTTTAAAAATGTATTCATGGTGAATTGCTAGTGTAAAAAGTAGAGGAATGTATTTTAAAGTAGAAAAAGGATATTTTCCAATCCATTTTGGTTTTACCCTTCAACCGATTCTTTTATTCTATAGATTGTTATGGTGGAGGAATATGTCAGCTGCCATAGAGTCAAATCTCTTTATACCCTGTGGAGAGGTCTGATTCTAGCATTGATCCAGCCTTGTAGCCTCTGCAGGTGAAAAAGATGATCTGTCTGTGCTGTTCACAGACAAAATCTAACGCATACACGCACCTTGTTTTTCACAATATCACTGCCCTTTCTCCCGCATTCTTTTCTTTTTTTTTTTTCCAAAGTGCATGATCTATACAACAAAAGCAACATCTCTGTTTTGCCACCTGTGAGTGTGTTGTACACCCATTTCATTTCCCAGTACCATTACAAGATTCAGAGCCTGGCCAATTGCTTTTGCTATTGATTTGACTCCATTTATTTTTCTGCTCAGATTTAAAAACCTCCCACACAGGGAACCATCTCTTGACAAATCACTTTAGTACTCCTCATGTGAAGGGCCAAACAGGATTTGTAAGAACAATAGAGGCAGATTTTCTTGCTTCATCAGAGTTGAAGATGTTAGAAAGAATGGATACATTTTAACAAGAATATATTGTGATTTTCTCATTTTTTTATGTTTTTACTTCTCATTATGTAGTTCACTTTGTATCCATATGTTTATCCAGTGTCTGACTTTATTTATTTTGGTTGCTAAGTATTAAGTACAATAAGTAAATAAGAAGAACCAATCATAAAGGTGCTTAAATCTAAAAAATAATGTGGGCTGCGCCATTGAATTTTTGTTAAATATGAAAGATTATGACTATGATGAACCTCTTACATTATTTGTTGCAGCCACATCTGGTGAAGGCTGAAGGTTTGAAGGTTCTTAAAGAGACAGAAGCCAATTTCTATGCTATGATGCAAAGTTATTTGAAATAGTTTTTGGTATATACAGCATTTTCAAAACATAGTTACTTGATTGTGACATAAAATGTGCCTGTATAACACATTATTCCAGCGTTTGAGACATGATTCCTACGCAAAACTTTACACTTCTCTACACCAGATTTTGCAGAGTACTTACTCTGCAAAGACACACACCATTAAGAAGATGATGACTGGATAGATAGATGGAATGTGGATCAATGGTTTTTATGCACTGAATTAAAAACACAACACAATATCAGAAAACTTTGCCTTTAGACCCCAACATCATTCAAGTTTTTGACAGGGACACAAATGAACTGAAAAAAAAAAAAAAAAAAAAAAAAAAAAAAAAAAGTTTTTATCAAAGTTGAGAGTCAAAAACATTGTTCTTCAAACTCTTACCGAGTCTGAAAACAAGAATATATGGCCAACTTATCTGCTCAAGAGCAATTTTGAATACATTTAAATGATTGGTCACCAGTAGTCTAATCTATATTTTTGTGGACAAAAGAAGAACCTTTAGCATTATGGTTCTGATGCCTTTTTAATGTCACCTCTTAGTAGAGTTGATATTCAGAAAAGGAAAATCAGCACATGATGAGGGACTGAATTTTGATTAATGGTTTGCTCTTTTCCTTCCGCCTCTCCTGTTGTTTCTCATTTGATAATTGCATATTTTAACTTGCTTCCAAATGAATTTTGCTTTCTCGTTTTAGCAATATTAACATTTCTTGTGTGGGTGAAGACACATTATTTCCTTACGATGGGCAAAGTCAACTATTTCAGATTGTCATTTGTAAAACGAGAAATAAAAGCCTAGGATCACCCATTACCACTGCACAAAGCTGGCAGATCCCTGGGGCAGGTGCTGTCTTAACACATAATTTCATGGGGAAAAAAGCAGCAATTTTGACATCTTCCTCAGATGTCACGCAAATTAGATTTTCAGCTTTCCTCCGACACACTCATGGACATTTAAAGTTCAAGGGAGATGATGTGACTATAAAGCAAATAGTTGTGGAACAAAGCTCGGAATATTTTTTACTGCAACCCAGTGAAACATGACATGCTTTCCCAAATGGTTTTTCTGTAATATGTTTCCATTATATTTTTCAGCAGTGTTTCATTGTTTTGTGTCCTCTCGTAACAAGTATGAGGTGAGGTAATGGTGCAATGGTATTATAAGGTGTCTGACAAAGATTAATACCATCAATACTGTGTTAAATTTTGTGCCAGGTGAAAATTATTTTTCGCCTTCTGCATCGATCAGAAAATATCTCATTAAGTGCGTCTCTCCTCATCCTTCAATATTTTATAGGATCTTTAAAGCTTTTGTGGATGACTTATGTGTGGGCACTGGAGTCACGGCTTGCTATAGACTCACCTGTAGAGCGAAACGGGAGGGTTGGCCTTTGCAGAGCAGTGGAATTTCACAAGGTTGCCCTCCAAAACGGGCTGAGGCTCCACTGACAGATTGACAAGAGGGAGATCTATAAAAAACAGGGATGCACAAAGACAAGCAATTACTCTACTGGCATCCTCAAACACGGTGCAGTGAATTGTAAGCTTTGAGAACATATTTCGTTGCTGATGTTGATGACTAAATGACAGAGAAAAAAAAAACCCAGTAGAACAGGAGGAATACTTTCAGTTTAATTGTGGTATCCTGTGCTGATAACGTATCAGATGGAGATGCTTATCCCAAAACTTTTAAATGATCTGTATATGACTACCTGATCACACATCTCAACATCTGTTGGTGACATACTGTGTGATTTTTGTTAACTGTATTCCCAGCGAGCCGCACGGCTGAAATTTGCTCAGCCAGTTGAAAAAGTAACGGCCACATCAGATCCTGTGTTGCATGGCTTTCAAAAATGTATTCAAACTATCACTTGTTGACCAACTACTTGCATGTTTCGGCTTTTACTTTTGCCACTTCTTCTTTTGTAGCTAGCTCTTTGTCATTTAAGGTTTTGAGGCTTTCGGTCATAATCCTAATTATTAGCTCTCGCCACATATTCTCTTTGGGATTCCAGCTGAAACTCTGGCAAGGCCACTTCAAAATGAAACATTATCTCCAGTTAGAAAAACATGTTGATCGGGTCAAAATATCACTTAAATCTAAATCTGTCAGCCATATAAATAATTTTGGGCTTAGTTTTGATTATCCTGGTATATATATATATATATATAACAGCTGTCTAGTTTTAAGCGAGTCATGTCTGTATCATTGACAAAAGAATCCTGATCAGGATGTTCCCAGGTGTGAAATGTCAACCTCGTAGTATCTGCACTAAGCATGGAACTACGTCTGAGAAGGATATAATATTCATAGCATTAATACTATTATTCTTATAATCTTTCAGTAAACAATGCCACATCGTGGTACTGTTTAGAGCAACTTTAGAGCAGGTTTGATAACTTATCTCAGTCTGTCAGAGAATTATCCCGGAATAACTATCTCTCAGTTTTAATACCCGTGCAACCCACACTTCTTAAAGCTCATGTTGCTAAAAAAACACTGAGGTTGTTTCTTACAAGTTGGATGTTTATGTCTATGTTTCTGCTCTCAAATATCCATACTTTTCATATGTGAAACAAGAAAAATGAAACCCTGAACTGATAATGGATTCCTTGCTTGAAGAGCAAGAATCTTCAAGCAGGAAATAGTCCACGGCAAAATCCACAGCAATTAAAACAACAAGGAACCTCAGCGGTGCAGTGCAAATTGTAATAGTTCTGAACATCGCAAACATTCAGATTATGCAAATTCAATAAACAACTTAATTTATCCTAATTGACAAAGGTAGGATTCTTTTTGAAGATAGAGCTTCATTTCCATATCAACCTGTCCCACGTGAAGCAAACAAAGCTATTTACCTCACAAATTTGGAGGATGAATTGAATTATTTATTTATAACTAAAGCTATTTGTCAGGCTTTTTAAATGCAATGTAGGTGTATTTTGTTCATAGCTGCAAACGCAGCAAGGTGGATCATAATTACCAGTTGGTCTAGCAATTAGAGCTGAAAGTGCTTTACTGTTAATGGAAAATACATTGGAAAGTGTCAACAATTTCTTTTTACTGTAGATTTGCTTTAAATAATAGAAAAATAAAGAGTCTTCACTCAATTGTTTTCTTTCATGCAGTTTTCCTTCTTTGCCTTGTGGTAGCAAACTGGTGAGTTATCCTGGACAGTCAACAAGTCACAAGGGGAAAACTGGCTCTGGGTTTGAAGCTAGCCATCTGTTTAAAAAGTAGATCTGCTCTGTGTTTAGCTACACTAAAGTTATAACCAGGAACTGTGTTTGGCTGCGGATGAAGGGCACAGCAGTGAGAACAGAAATCCGCCGAGGATGAAACAAAAAAGGAGCACACAAACACGCTCTAATGTAGCCAGGCATCTCTGTGTATGGCTATGGAGAGGGAATCTGTAAGCATGTTTATGGGTCGGCACCAAATGTCGAAAAACTGCTTATTACCCCGTAGCTGTGCAGATGCTCAAGGCTGGCTCAGCTGCCACAAAACCCCAGAGAGGAATTGGTCCAGGTGCCACATTCTTTCCCTACTTACACGCCATATCCCCCATCAGTGGAAGCGTTCCCCTCCAGGACAACTCCACCACCCCTCACCAACCACTTCACCACCTTGAAATCCATGAGCTCCACCTGTGCCAGGTCTCTCCAGGCCAGTAAAGAAAACAACAACATTGCAAAACCCAAAAAGACTGCAGGCTAACTCAACAAGCAAGTATCCCTAGGTACTGAGCAGCCAGCTGTGTGTGCCTAGGCATTTGCATGCTTGTGTGAATATGACGGGGGGCTGGAGGGGGGCGGGGGAGGGGCATGGATGTGCATCATAATAAAACCGGAAACTCATCCTTGCCTGGAGCAATAGTGTTATCCACTCAGTCGGTGGTTTAAAGCATTGTGGGTGGTTAAATCCGTGAAAGGAAATGTGGGTAAAAGCAACCTAAGGGCAAACTGACAGGTGTGGCTGCAGTGGAGGTGGCACTAAAAAAAAAAAAAAAAAAATCTGTGGGAATCTGGGAGCACAGACAGAAAGAGAGACAGACATCAAAAGACAGGGGGAGATCTAAAGGCATCTTCTGTGCTAATAGACATAGCAATGCAAATGCTAATTCAGAGGCCGCTTGCACTAAACTCTTCCTATATGGGCCTTTTTAATCATGACATCCTTCTTCTTGCTGCCAACTGACTTCTAAAGACTCAAATGCTCATTACTGTCAATCTGGCCACAAAATCAATGTTCTTTTGAAATGCCTGAACCAGCCCTCCGTTCTGAGGGAAAAAAAAAAAAAAAAATAACTCCCATGTCCCTCTCAGCGAGAGTTAATGTCATGATGAATTTAATTTGTTGATAGTTCCATCTCTCAATCATTTTAATGACAGCATTGGCAGCATCAGCTGTCAAAAGTTCTGTCTCTATGTTTGAATTAGGAACTAAAACACCTTTTCCCACTTTTGACCTTCATAACATGACCAACATCTGTTTAGTAAAGTGAATACTTTGATGGGTAAGTGCAATGAGTTGACGAGTTGGGCATTTGAGGCAACGCCACGGCAGACCAATGCGCAACACTGCTAATCCTTCACTAGGAGGGGTGGGATGAATAGACTGAGGAAACAGGAGAAACAACAGGAGAAACTGGGGAGGGTGTTGTTTCAGTTGGCCGACAGCTTTTGATCGGTTAGTTCAAAGTGGAAACCAGATGGTGTTTTTGGAACAATCGTCCGACTTCTCTGTTCACGGAGATTGTGCCAGCACAAATTCATTCACCCCCGCTCCTCCCTTTCTTAAAGCTCAAATTTTCAATCTCTCTGGGTCACTGTAGACAGCTGTTCTTCAGCAGGACCAGCCTCAAACTCCAGAAGCGTTCGGATTCCTCTGAAGGATGCAGAGACCGAGGATTACATCGTCGACAATATGGGTACGCTGTCATCTGGCTGGCTGAGCGCAATACTTCAGGGGAGAACAGGCTGACGAACAACTTGAGGTCTAACATATTGATCATAAGATATTCAGAATGCTAAATTTACTTTGTTTAATGATGGCAGATGTTGTTCCACATTCTTTGCAATACATATGTGCCAGAATATGTTCACAAACTGAAAGTTTTCTCAGAAACGCAAGAGCATTTTCCTGTCTCTGTAACCTTACATTCCTTCCCCCTCACTCACAGATGCTGTTTCAGATGAATTTGGCATTATCTGCTTGATTAAGCAAGGAGAGTATGTGGCTGAGCAAGCTACCAAAAACAAATCCCCCCCAATTGCACATGTGCATGTTCTTTATTAATTAGTCCCAACAAATGGCTTTCATTTTTCCACCCACATGGCTCAGCTTGTTTGCAATGCAAACATACAGAAAAAAACCTTGGTCTTGCCCGTCCCCAGTGCATTAATTTCCCACTACACATTTCAAAGCAGAGTTTTATGTGGGGCAACGCTCTGCAGATATGCAACTGCACTAGAAAATAATTGAGGAGCATTTCAAACCAGGCGATGAGTGGGAATTAGCGAGACACGGAGCTGACATCCAAAACAGAGTTCCCCCGCAGTGGTACGTACTGTAGTGGTCGTGGGAAAGTTTACTGATTCAAGTACAAACGACAGCATGCACATCAAGACATGCTGCTGCAGAAAACAGCATCAGGGGGGTAGCTACCCCATGTGCTATCAAATAATTACAGTCCGCTAATGGAATGGTGTGGACAACTGAAGTCAGCAGTCTATCCAGGGTTCTGAATCACCTCTGCTGGCTCTAAATCCCTCTCATTTCGGCAACATCGACAGCGTATACTGTATTTAGATGCTAATTTGTCTAAACCTCATCCAGATAACGCTGTATGAACTTTGGAGGGAATGGAAATGCTGATGTGGATGTAAACCATGAGCATTAAAGTAATGATAAAAAAGAAAATACTGTTAAAGGCATTGGGTTCTGGTTTAAGCTGCAGAGCAATGTGCAGTGCTGTGTTTAGATTATGCTCATTTGGATTGAGGGAGAGAGGGGGGGGAAAAAAAGGACAGCTAAGCACAAAAGTGAGCCGAACACTAGATTTTGTGAGGAGAAGAAAGATTGGAAAGTTTACAAAAAACTTTTTTTGTAGGTTTTATGTCACTGAGATGGCACGCACACAAGCTTTATTAGGCAAAATAAATTGGTGTTCAATTAAATGCCTAAAAGCTAAGCCACTCCTGAGCAGAATATATAACGCTTTATGCCTGGAATGTAGAAGTTCAGAGGGAGATTGTCAACATATTCAGGGTATGCAATACCATTTCAGGAAATCTACTCATTTGCTGCCTTAGTAAGAACGAGATGAAAGCATCAATATCAATTTCAGCTGTTCATGCTCAATACAGTGCTCAGTCACAGAGTGCCAGGAAAACATCTGCAAGGGTTTAACTCTGAATGAGACAGCTTGTGGACAGGAAATGAAGTGTACCCTAAAATGAATGACGCCCCTCACTTTCTGCTCTAACGTTCTTGATGACACTTGCTCTTATCCCAGGGTGAACAAGTTGTTCCTCTTTTTCAGTTCACCAATTCATTTCTCTACTCTGTCGGATCCACTGTTCTTATTTCTTGCTGCGACTAGGGTTGGGATGAGACCTTTTGGTGTGATATTTCTCACACGTGTCTTAGTTCAATGTACAATTATGAACCCTGAAAATGAAGGTGAGTGCTTTATGTTTGACAACACATGTCTATGTTTTAGACTCTTTTTTTTTTTTAAGTAAGAGAACCAGTTTTTAAGTTGATTTTTAAAAACTGTCGGTCAGAACAGAAAAACAGCGACACAGTAACAACATACACATTATCAGCCTGCAGAGTAATTTCACCCCTTTTCTGCAAAATGACATTCATTCTGGTTTGATTATATTCCTTTGATTTCCATAAACTCCATAAACTTAGTGTTCAGCTCCTTAAACATAGTTCTTAGCTAGTATTATGACTCTCTAGGTCATTTGTATAATTATCAAGATTCTGCATAAAAAAAAACAACTTCTGTAAACATATTACATAGAGGATTGATTATCTTATTCTTATTTATAGCTGGAAATGTTGAATAAAACCTTTGTTCTGATGTCAATTTTCCTCGTGCTTCCCTTCCTGATTTTAAAGTAAGAAATGGACTCAGTTTTATTCAGCTTAATGTTAGGAGCTTAAAATAAAAACCGTACACGGGTCATACATTGGCGTTATCTACTGATGTTGTTGTCATCGTGCTGTCTAAATCTCAGAATCTCAACTTATTACAGTAGTTGGCTGTTATAAAACCTTAAGCATCCAGTGAAGATCCTAAATTAAAACTAAATGCAAAGGATGTGTAAAATTATGGGTGTTCGGAACTGAAATTGCAGCTAGTTTAAAATGCTGTTGTCCCTCCGTTGTTTTTATAAAACAGGACCCCCTACCAAAAACACAAAAACACGTTTGCAGAATTTCCAATCCAACTACATTTCAAGCAAATTAGCAAAACCTAAATGACATAAAAACATAATTGACAGAAGCTTCAGTTTGTCACACTCTGATTTCTGAGTGGTCAGTCACAATGCTTTTACCTGTGATTGAAAGAGGTGTTTAAAACTTCCAGCAATTATCGACTTGTTTTGTTGAGTATTCACTTGTGGCTGATTTGCACGGCAACAGGAGAGCGAACATCCAAGAACCATTACCAAGACCAAATTGCGAAGCGTGTCCTTTCTTTTACGTGCTTACAGAAATCTCTTGGAGGAACAATTCTCTTTATACAGTAAGTAGTGAGATGGCTTTTAACTTTTGTTCAGAGTGAAAAGTGGAGGGATGTAAAAGGTTCCATTTTTCAGCTTTCTTTTAATTTTAATATTTTAAAATACACTTTTCTGTCAGGCTGTTATTCAAGTTGAAAAGTAGTTTTAGTCTATTCAACTTACGATTTTACCATGATTATTATTATTACCATTACTACAATAACGATTATGACAACAGCTAGACAAACCAAAGTCAATATTTTAATCTTATACAAACCCCTTTACAAAAAAAAAAAAAAGTGTCCCCTCTTTCAGTGTCCTCAGTCACGTACTTCACTATTGAATATGAAGTCTATGTTCTAGTACATATTTTTGATAACTCGTGGAGAGAGACAACCATAAATATGCTCAAGCTCCATCTACTATTTAATGTGATCATCTAACATTTCCTAAGAATTTCAGATCACTTCCTAATTCCATTGACGGCTGTTCTGAGACTCACTTGAGTCGGTCAACTCTAACAAGTTACGACAGATTCTGACCTCTGATCAAATCAAGATGAGCATGAGCAGTCCCTTCATGGCAGATATTATTTTTTCAGAGTCACATAATCACATTTCTTTAGAGTAAATTATAAGTAAGTCATAGGAAATGACTTTAAATCCCTGGTTGTCAAAGTGAATGTGAAATGTCCACCTAACAGTGCATAGGTTGAAATATTCCATGGCAGATTGCTCCTTCCATCCATCCATACCTGGAAATTTCAGGTACATAGCAAAACAAGACTGCAGAGGAACAAGTGACTAATTGAGCAGCATCATTATATCACATAGTTGTTTCTAAAGAGGTGATAATCAGTTTAAAAAACACATTAAAAATGTTCAATTTAAGTCAAACCTGGGAGCAATTGTTACAATTATCATTGCAATTACACTCTAAGACATAGTAATTAAAGTAGGTTACTAGTAATAATTGAGTCAACCGTTGGAATAGTTAGGTCATCTATTATGGCTCTGAATGCCTTTGAGGTCCTTTAAGGAGCTAACTTTATTTTACTGATCCAGCAGCTTTTGTAAGTTGTAAACAGCATACTTCATTCACTTTCAACTTGTTCCTATAATCATCTTTTCAGGAATTTTACAGTAAGATATTCTCAGCAAACAATAAAGTGAATTGCAGCCTGCTGCTTGCTGAGGCCTTCACTTTTAGACCAAACTTAGCTTAATGTTAGCTACCTTTTTTATTTAATAAAAAAAAAGTTAAAATGTCATTTTGTTGCTTTTTTAAATTCAAAAATATAAATTTGTTCAGAAATTTGATTATTTTCTTAAGGAATAAAGCAGATATGGTGACTACAGACAACAACGACTACAAAAATCTATTGATTTCATGGGGATTTTTTGGGTGTGCTCTTTGGTCTTCATGGTGTTGTTTTCATGGTTTTCTGACAAACCTCTGAGGCCTTTACAAAACAGAGGTTTTTATTATACTGGGATTGAACAACATCAAGGTTGGCTAACTTTAATTTAAGGGCATCAGACTTGAGAGGGTAGAACAAATGCATGTCGCACTCCAATTTTTGTTTGCAAAACATTTTGAAAACCATGCATCATCTTCCTTCCTCCTAAGGCGTTAAGCACTAAGGTGCAAGACTCTGTATAACTAGTCATGTAAACGGTAAAATTACCTCAAGTGATAAATGTACTTGCTGTAAATTTACCACTCAGTGCATCAAAAAGTGTGTAATTGCCCTTTAGCTTTGATTTTTGCATCTGTGTTTTGGACAGATTACACGTCGCTGACCTTGTAATCAAATTAGCCTGCATTCAATTTAAACAAATTAATACCTAACAGAAATCAATCAAAGTTCAGCTGCTGCACGCTTGAATTCAGGGGAAACTTTATGTGAGGAGTGGATCTCTGGTTAAACTCCAAAGGCTCCACTCAGCCGTGCTGAGCACTACCTGTCAAATCCAAGAGAGGAGGAGGAGGAAGAACGGCGGGGGGAGCAAAAGCGAGGGAGGGAGTCGAGAGCCTTAGCCTTGTGGGAGACAGTTTGGATCTCGACAATTAGTCTCTGCTGTCGCTCGGTTTCATCTCACACTGTGAAAAATGTTTTCAGGAGCTTTAATTGTGTAAAGACGACATTTTAGAATGCTAATTAGAGATCTGCTCCACTCATTTTTCAGGGTTAAATCAAACATTTACAGGCGTGGATGATGCTATGATGGCAGGCAGTTATCAGAGACACATCATTATACATGGTGACAAATCAGTTTACATGTGGGCAGACTTCCTTCTCTGACTGCATGGGAAAAAAAAAAAAAAAAACGGAGAGCGCAAACTGCTAGGGTTGCAAACACTAACAACTCTTAATCATTTTTACTCCCGCGCCTGAGCTGGCCTGATTGTGCTATGCCCGCTCGTGCCATTCTTGCCTCTTGCCGTGTACATAATAAAAAGAATGGAGCCGTCAGTCATAATGGCTCTCTAAATAGCATTTTCTGCTTTATTAGTCATACTTAATGGCGTTGAAGGGGTTGTGAGTGATGCAAAATCCCATTGTTCAAATCCTTTCTCTTACTGTGAGCAGTTCTTGATCGAAAAAATATTCCCTGACAATTGAGGCTGAAAGCGGTTTACACGCTGGGCTTACTTTGCCTATTTTCAACCTGAAATGTGGATTCTCTCATCAAAGAGATTGATGGCATGAGAGAGAAAATACGCGAGGTGGGAAGACTTTGCATTTTTCCACAGTGAGCAGGTAGCCGAAACACAAGCTTCACCCATTTAGATGGACAGATGCTCTGACTTTTCTTAATATATTTTTTATCATAGAAAATCAAAACTACTGGTGCATCACCAATCGATATGACTAGATGGCATGCGAGACGAAAAAAGGAAATCAATTATAAATACCAGTGAGAGTCTACAGGAGATCAAATATGACCACAGGGTTAAAATCACGTGGGTTTAGCATAATTCATATTTCTGAAACTCCACAGATACGGAATCCTGCTGATCATATGTTGGTGTCTTCTTCTCATCTAACTGTAAATTATTTACATTCAAAATATAAATACATGATTTAGAGGAAATATGCTTACGCTGAATGTCGATAGTGACACTGGTCTCCTTGCCATTGGGCACTGCCTTGTTGGAGGCCTTGCAGATGATCTGCTGACCGGTCTCGATGTTGGAAGGTGAAAGGTAGAGAGTGCTCACCGTGCTTTCTCTCCTGCCGTCTCGGAGTAATGTCTGGAAAAAGCAAAGCAACACTTCAGGAGATGAAGACAGTTTTGTGCTTAAATCCCTAAAATGAGGAGCGCTGTGTCATTTTGTATCCTGGGTATTGTCCATCGAGGGAAAGTTCTCAGGAGTTAAAAGTATTAATAGTTACTGTAACTGATAGAAATATGCTTTATTTTTGTGAGATAGAACAGAACTGAAGAAACCACAAAACTGGTGAAAGAACTAGTTGGAATATATATATATATATATATATATATAATTTTTTTTTAATTTTTTTTATTTAACAGACAGAAGTTTTAAACATTTTGTTTGGTTATTGGTCTCCATAATTAAACTGGTCTCCAGCTCCTAATAAAAGTGATTCTACTCTCTTGCCAGTCAGCACTGGATCTTAGAAAGATCCAGTTTATTAATGCAGAGACAGAGATTGTAGCAGAAGCAAAAAATAAATAAATAAATAAAAAAAATAATAAGTGATAAGCATGCCCTACAATTAGCTCAGTCCTGGAACCAGTTTGGCCACAATCACATAGCAGCAAATATATTATTCAGCTTAAAAACCTGAGAAAAACCTAACACAGACTTCTGCACGTCTGAAGAGTTAAAAAAGGCTATAAGCAAAACTTTCTGTCCCCTGTCTGATTAGCTGCTGCCTTCCAATACTCTGTTTCTTTCTTTATAAAAAAAAGAAACCCACCTCAACAGCAAGCAAACCATTACAGATGAAAACACCTCAACAGAACTTCACTTTAAAATATATAAATTATCTTTTAAGCTGTAAGCACCTGCAGGTGCAGAATAAAATAAAAGTGAAAAGTCCACCTATGTAAGCATTTTACATCTTAATTCTAAACTTTTCCCACAAGTAATTGTGCGAAAATAAAGAAGTTAAAACAAAGGGAAGATCAAAGAAAAGCTAGAAAAAGATGAAAACAAAAATACATATACAATTGGCTCTATTGCAGGAAACAGAAGTGAACCATCAGAACATTCCGCCTGTAGTTTTACCCCCAAAGGGAAGCTGATATGAAATTAAATAAATAAAAAAAGTATCTGAAATATGTTTTTTTTTTTTTTTTAGAGCTTCCTTTTGTGTGCCTGGAGAGCTGTGCTCTAGTGCATGGCTTGTCATACTCCACAAAGGAAATCAATCTTCTTTTCAGTGCTCATCCTCTGAGCCCTGTATTGTGGAAGCCATCTGGAATCGGTTGGTAGCGCTTGCTGGCTCTCTGCTATGACTCCGGCGTTCAGAGGAGGGCTCTGGGAGGCTATGCTAAGCAGTGCAGGACAGAACAAAGTCACTGAATAGAACAAATTGTGTGGGCAACAGGGTGCAGGGGGGTCAACCACAAAGCCAAGATGCATTTCCCTGCTTTCCCTTTAAAGTAGGCTCAAGGTTCGGTTCTTTTTAATAGAAAGGAAACTACATAAAAAAAAACACCATGTAGAATGGAAACAGTCTAAAATTGTGTTTATATACTAAAAACATGCTGGGCTATGGAAATTATGCCCAAAATTCAAACTCTCAAAAGACCTGTGAAAAAGTCAGGTTGTTGTGTCTTTAAACAGATGATATATAATTTGCTTTCTGTTATTTAATTTTTGTTTATACAGGCTTTTTGAGACGTACGATGTGACTTTAATCATACTGGAAATGCAAATAGCAACACTAAAACACAACTGATTTAGAAAAACACACCAAAGGGAAAATGTGCCGAGAAACCTAAAAACAACAGCAGATGTTTATTAGGTCAACGTTGTTGAAAAGCCTTTCAGTTCTGTTTCAGCTTTCACTCTTCATGACTGAATCTGATTAACCTGAAATTACAAACTGTGTGATTCTCTCTAAATTAATAAAAAGATAAAATGCAAATTGGTCAGGAAGGCTGCCAAGGGCCTCACAACAACTCCTGAAAAGCTCCATGAAATTCTGACAGCAATATACCTGATCGGAGGAGCAGGGTTAAAATACAGAACCATTTTCCTATGAAGAAGACATTCAGACTTAGCTAAAATTTCTTTGTCCACATTACAGAATGGCTTGACCTAATCTGGCATGACCCACCGGACCATTTTGTGTAAAAGAACCCCCTGGCCTGAGAGAAAAGGCTTTGGAGCAGCCTCTTCTAAAGTTAAATCGAAGTTAAATTGAGCTGTAGTTTTGCAAATACAATTTTTTTTTTGATTGTGTTTGAGAAACTTTAGACGGTTAATTTTTTTTTTTTTAGAGACATTATACCAGTGACACAGTAATGAAATTATGAATACCAGAAACATTTTTACCCAAAGCCTTCAGGTAGCCGCCTGAAAGCTGAAGCTTTATTACTGTGAGTACAAACAACAACAAAATCCAAAGGTCGGTTTCCATAGAAGAAAATTAAAGTTTTAAAAGGACTGAGTAGTCTAGATGTATTTAAGTCACTTCTTAAGACACATTTTTACTCACTGGCTTTTAATACAGAGTGAGAGATGAATTTGTTGGGTCCACTTATGTTTCTGTTTCTTTCTCATGCTGCGTTTGTATTTAGCATCTTCTCTGTTGGGATCACTGTTATTTTGTGGTTTTTCTTCACAGCACTTTGGCCAATGGGAGTTGTTCTTAAATGTGGTTTATAAATAAGTTCGATTTGATTCGGTAAAAGCAAAAGACTCATCTGACAGATAATCTGTGGTTGTTGCCGCAAAAGTGAGTATTTTCACAGTCTGATAGATCTGAAGAACCTTTGCAAAAGTGACGTGGGGAAACGATGTCAAGATGGGCATCCTGGTAGACCCCCAAAAAGAAGGTTGAAGGCTAAAATAGGTTAAAAATGCTTCAGGGATGTGTTCTTCCACACTAATGCAAACATTTTAGGCCAGTGAAACCTCAATTTATCCATCCCATCTTCCCTTCCAAATCACCTGTCATTCTGAATAGTGTGGATTAAAAAAAAGAAATAATTCAATTTGTAAACTGATACAAGACATTATATATATACTTGTCGCATTATAGTTCAACCATCTCACTGTGCCTTTTAAAGGAACATAAAATTGAGGCATCTGCACCACTCGGGTGAATATATTAGTTTTTTTTTTTTTGGCATTTCTGAGACTTCTAGGAAAATAATATTACAGCTCCTATGCTCTGTGAATCCCATTTCCATGTGAAGAGCCATGTGATGAAATTCATATTTGTGCGTGAGTCACTTTGAAAGCAGAGAACATTAGTTGTCAGACACGGAGTATGTCAATGTAATGTTCTCTGTGACACAATCGGGATTGTTTCCATCATAGCTCTGGACCTGTCTGCAGTCATTAATCTTAGAAACAGGGTTAGCTGGCAGCAGCACAAAAAAAAAAAAAATCAACCTTAGTCCACATCACAAATTGAGATATTTTCTTATTTAATACCAAATAAAGCTCCAAACAATACACATATGACCAGATTACAGGACAATAAGTTTATGTGTAATTAATATTTTCTGACCTTCTGAAGGTAAGAGAAACAAAGAAGCTTATAACAATAAGCCACTGTTTTTTTTCTCCTTATCTGTTTGATTAATGTGGTTTTCAAGCATTATTGGAAATTGTGCAGCATAAACACTCTCTTATGTTACAAACAAGCTTGATAGCAAAAGAAATACCTGCCCCAAAAACCAGATGGTAACCTTTTGCAACTAAAGATGAACCACTTCTGATCTATGACAAAAAGATCAGAAGTGGACAATTTTTTCCTTTGTAGACTTTGAGGTCAAATACTATTATTATTTTTTTTATTCATTAAATTTCTTGAAACTGAAACCACCTACAATTTTTGTTCTGTGAGGATTTAAACCAGTAGTGTGCACTTTATGCACATTTTTTTCTAGTTTAGCTTTGATACATAAAAGGGAATACATTCTAGCAAGACATGCAGAATATTTTTTCCTCTTTTAGGTTGTACATTATAGTAGAAAAAGTCCAAATTAAAATTAAAAATAATTTGTTAGCCATTACAGTCATGTAAAACTTAAGCACTAGTTAAGATATAACAATAAATACATAGATTTTAACAATAATTTGCTTGATCAGACCTAATTAGTGTGTTGCATAAGCACCAATTATTCTCTGATCCACTTTAAATCAAAACCTGACAACAGTATCTTTGGTAAGGATGGCAAAGATGGACAACAATAGAATCAACTGTTAAAGTCATCCTCAAACTCCTGCATCAAATTATTATTATTTTTTATTTAACTTTTCCAAGACAGAAATGTATGGAGACCTTTTCAGTATGGCTTTGAGCTAAAGGCCTTCATTTAATGTTTTAATTTAATGAGATTTATATGTGTTGATATGTAAATTCTTTCTCTCCTTTGGTGAGCTTCTTCATTATGTACTGCAGTTATAAATTCCTAAGCTACCCTCACTAATGATAAGCAGTGCAACGTTTTATGAACTCTGCTTTGGTCAAAAGCAACACACATGGTTGCCAAATGTTAGTTTTAATCATATAGTTTTTCATTTAATCACTGATCCAGTAAATAGATTTCTATGAGGTCACAGAGATGAGGTTTGGGTTGGGTCAGAACTGTCATTACATATGACACCATCAGTAAAGCCATCTTTGTGAACCCTTCGCCACATCTGCTCACATTAGACCTCTTCATCTGTTGGATATGAGGAGACCATCAGAGCAGATGATTATGTTTTCAAAATGTCCCCCTGCTGCTCTGCGGACCCAAGAAAAGTCATCTTGGTTTAATTGAACCCATTGCTTTTTAATGTTAGGCAATAGAGATAAGAGAGGGAGGGGGGGGGGGAGGGGGCTAATACTCGGGCTCAGCGGAGGCATGCGAGCATCCGTCACCTATTGGCGCTGGATGTCTTCATATCTGCCTTTTGCTCCTGAGGAGGAAGTGAAGGTAGGAAGCACGCTCCTCCGCCTACCATTAGCAAACAGCACCTCCGGCAATCACTTTATTCAAAGCGGCCTGGTGCCGTACCTCAGCCCAATCAATGGCATTTATCTGCTCTTTGAAAAAAGCCGATAATGGGATGAGACAGCGCAGGGAGAGGAGGAAGGCAGGGGTGGTGTTAGTCGCCTAAAGTGCCTTGCCTCTTTATGTGCTTTGTTTAAACATAAATAGAATATAACCGATTTAAATGGATGACTAAGCCTTGAGAATAAATGTGAATGCAGAGTTTAGGTTCATGTGGCCACAGCATAAAAGATTTTGGAACTGCAGTGACATCCAAAGTCTAAGGACAAGCTGCGGCTGAGAATCAAACTGTGGGATAAAACATTCAAGAACCAGAGCATTGTTTGATCATGCAAGCTTCTGTAGGACGACATCAAAATGCTGGAAAGAGACGCAAAGTTATTGATAGTCTCATGATCTCACCATCTGTTTGTTTTAGTACATTTGTAAACGAGAGGAAGTGAATGTTTGTGTTTTTGAGGAATATCACTTCATAAAAACAACCTAAAGGCTGAGGCAAACACCCACCTCACACTGAGGCGCAATACATCTGAAAAATACTTTAGCACCGTGCTGCAGGTGCAGCAGTGTATATATGTATGGTGCAAGGTAATTAGCTGTTAAATAAGTAAATTATTATGATAAGTATTGAATTAAAAACATCACTAGAGCTGAAAAAGTTATTAAACGCCAGGAAGCAAAATGGAATATTTAAGGATTTATAAAAGAAATCCTGTAACTCACCTGTCAGTGTAAATTAAAATCAGCTTGCTTCTTAAGAAGTGTCTCGCAATAGGCAAAACAAAGAGCTTGTTCAAGACTTCAAAACCTGATGTTAGTATTTGTTCCAGATGCATTTAAGTATTCCAGAATATTATAACCGTAATGTAATGAAGAGAATTCAAAAGAACCATCAGAAATACTTTGCAGGTGCAGTCTTCCCTACATAAGCTCTCCCTGCTCACTCCATCAGACTCCAAAGCAGAAGGAAATGGATTTTGAAGCTTATGTAAAGATTTACCTTTTTCCTTTTGTCATTCCACTTTATTGGGTCATAAAGAACTTTATTGACTAATTAGTTTTGATTTCTTTCCATGTGTGATTTTCTCGGGTTCAGGTGTGAATACCAGGTCAGTAGCCTGATTATGAATATATTCACTTAGAAAAATGTAGAGAAAAACGAGGAACATATATAACCGACAAACAAACAAACAGGCCACAGTCCTTCTGAACAATGTCATACACAGCCCCCCGCCCTGCTGGTCTACGTACCTGTTATGACACACACCTCAGTGCTTACCTTGGAGTACATGGCCCCGTTTAGGACCTCTCCATTCCGGATCCAGATAATGGATGCCGCCGGTTTGGCATTGTCAGCGTGGCACGTCAAGTTTAGAGGATCGCCAGCTCTCAGGCTCACCACAGGTCCGCCACCGATGACTGGGTCGTCCGGGGGTACTATTGACACACACACACACACACAAAAAAAGGAGTTGTAAGCCCTGGAGGTGTTAATTAATATCTTGTTTACCACTGGGGCATACAAGCAAATTACATTGCTTTCGTTATTAAAATAGACTTCATTTAATTTGTTTCTTGCACCGCATACACACAAACCAACAATGAACAAACAAACTAACTCTTAATTTCTTAGTTTCCACGTACTTCATGATCGTCACAAGACACCAGGGCTTGACTTACACATAATTAGCAGGTTGTTTTTTTTTCCATCTCAGGTTGGCCATGGAGGGTGTAAAACTGCAGTCAGAAAGTACATTTGCTATAAGAAAAGCAACTTATGCAGTGGTGTGAAGCTTAGGAAGTCAAAGTCGCAGCGTGACTCTCCAAACAACAATCAACTCTCTCGACACTCGGTGCAGAGCCTCCGCACACATACAGTACATGTCACGGGTAAATGTAAGTCAGTCAAATCCATTACACTGATCAGATGCGCGCATGTACTTTCCTCTGCTGTGCCGCTCGCAGTGTTGACAAATACAAACGGAGAAGGAGAGCATCAGAGCCGCATGCGTGCCTCCTATGGCACACATCAAAGTCCTGTTCTTGTTTTACCCATGAGTTGATCTGTTTTCCTTTTTTTTCTCCTTTCCTCTTTCGGTCTTTCGTTTTTTATAAGTGAAACTGCTGTGAATTATTGATTGACCTGAGTTCTCATTACAATGCAAATCTGGGGCAAGATGAAATCAAAGCCTTGCAAGCAGCTGCCATATTCCCCTGCTATAGCATCATGATTGGAGAGGAGGTTGTTATGGGTGAGATATCTGCTGTCAAACATATCTGAGACGGATGAAAGGAGAGGAAAAAATTTAATTTGGGGTGTGTTTGTGAAATTAATGAAAAATAGCATAAAGTAATCTTTTATGGCAAGATATATGTATGAACTTTCCCCCTGAACAAGAGCGCATATACAGTAGTCTACATCTACTGCTTCTGAAATAAAAAAAGGATAAAAAAAGTATTGCTTCTTCCAATTTTACTTCAGTTTGAAGTGAATAATCAAACAAATTCCAAAGTTCTATCTCAAAGCCAGACAACTGGGTTTACTTTAAAGCTCTTTACTTATTAGATCTTTATTAAATCAGAACACAGACTTTGATATATTTGGCCAACTTTTTCTTAGTAAAAACCCATTATATTTACAAGGATTAGTAGCTAAATTAAAATGGCTAAATTTGGAAAATTGACTGTAGGTCCTGGAATTCACATGGACATGAGCTTTACATATAAATAAGTAACGTTTATTTACACTCACCGGCAGGAATCACAAATAGCAAATTAGCCAATGACATGACAGTGACTCAATCCATGTAGCGCTTGGTGAGGTTTATAATGGGCATCAGAATGGGGAAGAAAGGGGATTTAGGTGACTTTGAATGTGGCATGGTTCTTGGTGCCAGATGGGCTGGTTGGAGTACTTCTGAAACTGCTGATCTACTGGGATTTTCAAACATAACCATCTCCTGGGTTCACAGAGAATGATTCAAGAAAAAAAAAAAAAAAAAAACTTTAATGAGCAGCATTTCTTTGGAGAAAATTAAACAGACAGAAGACCTATAAAATTGGTTAGGCTTGAAAGAGACATACAGCTGAATATAACTGGCAAACAAGGCGGAAGAAATTAAAAGGTTGTTGCACACCTTTAACAAAGTTGACTCAATAAAGGGCTGTTTAATAAAATCGGGCTGCAAAGGGTCACAAATCTGTTGTATAAATAAAAAACTTAACTGAGCTACATTTCCACTGTTTACTTACTACAAAGTAGTAATAATCTGACAACAGCATTTTGAATGAGACAGGAGGTGAGAAAGAAGTTTATCTAGTCCTTCAAACAGGGAATTGCAATCGTCTAAGCATGAAAACAAGAATGTGCTGACAATTTTCTCTCAATCAACAAAGGGGACTACATGCTACAGTTTGGATTTTTTTTCTATAAATGAAGAAAAACAAACAAGAAATTGATTTTCCATGTGAATCAAGCACTGCTATTCCACATACAGTTGCTAGCGCTGTTGCCTTGAAGCAAGAGGGTGCTGGGTTCAAATCCTAGCAAGGAGGTTTTTTTTTTTTTTGCTCACAATTTGCATGTTGTCCCTACACATGTGTGCAACATGTCAAGAAAGTATGCCTTCCTCCAACAGTCCAAAAACATGCACTATGCAAAACATGCAGCATTCATTTTCCAAAAGGTGTGAATGTGACACGTGTGGGGGTGCCTGTTCTTTTTGTCTTAGTGTTGCCTTATGATGAAATAAAAAAAAAAATATGTTTAGGTAGGGTGCATTCCTTAGCTCACTGACCAGTGGAAAAGGGCATCACCTGACTTAGATTTTGTGCAAAAGCAAGCCACCGTATTTCTAGTAGGGCTTCAATCAGTTAACAGTTACTAAACAGAAAATGAAAGAAGACATTCTATCCAGTGGGGAAATGTTTAAAAAGACAGATGATTTTCATTGGCAACGGGATGATTTTAAAATTATTGTAGCTGTACAAAGCAGTCCATGAGGGGTTTTGTTTTTGAAATCCAGGTTGAAAAGAATAAAATGTGGTGTAAAGAAATTACTTCAGGCTCTTTAAAGTAGGAAGACACTTAAACCTTGCCTAAATAAGGTGTCAGAGCAGGGATCTGAAACTCATATGAACATGATGAATGTCGTCAAACGATCAGTTGTAGCAGAATGTATAGAAAAAAAAAAACTACCCATAAACATTCTGTTAAAATGTTATAGCTTTCTCTACATTCAATTTGGACTTCTTGAGATTAAATAACATCTAACATCTTTTCACACTGATGTGATTTGGCTCTATACTACAATAACAAACTGATTTATTTTGAACGATAATACTTAAGTACACAACTCATCTTGAATTCCTATTTCTGTGGCCCTCTATAGACTATTACAGGCCAGATTTGGCCCCGGGGACCTGGGGTTTGACACATGTATTGAAAAGTAACAATGAATTATCACAGACAAGGAGCACAAATAATATGATTTCATCCTGTAATTGGTGGGCTGCCAGTTAGATCTAAAACTGTTTTATTGCTAAAAAGGATGGATGTTTTTAATTTGATTATCCGTACCACTCTAGTACTTTGCTAAAGACAAGCACGTCTTTGTGCTAGTGCTGCAGCTGATTAGTAGATGGGGGTGGCTTTTCAGTCTTTGGCTGTTATGACTAATGCATTTTCCTTACATAACATTATTGATTAAAACCATGTGAAATGTTTCCTTGCTCAAATAATCAGAAAACACACCCATCAACCCCTCACATTTACCATGAGTAATGGCTGATTCAGACCTGCGTGGGAACACTGAAGTCTGTACTCTGACTAGACCAGACTACTTCGACTCCAGCCAGCTGGCCAAGCAAATCTGCTATTTCAAAGACATTTCAGAATCACTTGTTCCCTATATGTGCTCGAGTTTGAGATGCAGCGTTGGTTCTGGCATGGCTCCCTTTCATCTTTCTCCTCATTAATATGTAGAGGGTGGGAGAGGTGGAGGAATCCCAGGTCAAAACAAGCAGGTCAGACAAGTGAGCAAGCTGATTTTTGCAAGGAGGAAAGCATCTCTGTGAGAATGCGGCCACCTTCTGTTCTTTCATCGTCAATTGGAAAGAGGGTCACGAGGAGGGTCCTATTATGGTAGTTTATTCTCATGCTAACAATCCAGTGCCTGCTTGATATGCAAATGAGACAAGGAGCATGAGAACAGCATTATGAGCCAGAAATGCAGACAAAATAAAAGTGAGACTCACTTCATGACAGCTGATTGCAAAGATCCAGAGATATTGGCTTGCTGTCAGCATTCTCCAGCAGACATGACTGAAACATTAATTAAATGTCAAGCATATAAGGGAGCCATAAAGGCTTTCATATGGAGAGGAGAAGATTAGATAGGAGAGTCTGACAGTATGTGACTGATAGGACTCTCCCTTGAATAGCGCACATTCAGGAGGGGTGATTTTCCCGTTATTGCTCAAAGTGCTCAAAGCTCCAAGGAAAGGTGAGATCACAAGTTTTTCATCCTTTCTCTCCAAGGAGGAAAAAAAAAAGAAGAAAAAAAGATCTCCGAGGCATGTTAACACATATCGGTGTCTGTATAAAGGTGCTAGCTTCGGAAAGCAACACCACTAATGAACTTGGTTATGTCTTCATTACATAGTTAAGTCTATATGCCTCCTTTAGTCTCAGTTAAAATGTGTCTTACCTTTTTTCTTTTCTGGAACAGCGATGTGAAGCACACAAGAACATCGTAAAATTTCTGCTTCACCACTTCTCCACAGGTGTAGTGGAGTTACATGAAAGTCAAAGGCAGAAATCTCTGTGCTGTGGAACACATTCAGGTCATGTCACGGTGGAAGTGGTGGTATCCTTGCCAGCAAAACACTTTGAGGGGAGGCACTTGACTTGGCTGCCTTAATATCTTACTCTCCTTCACTGTATTTCAGGTCCCCTGGGAAGAGTACCAGTGGTATCAAAATACAATGCCTCGTCAAGTTGTTTATACCTCTTAAACACCTTAGAACCACTCCTTGCTATAAAACAGCTGTGAGTCTTTTGCGGTACTGCAAGCTTTGTACATCTAGAGACTTGTATACTTTTGCCCATTGTTTTTTGCAAAGATGCTGGAGCTCAGTCAGACCGGATGGGAAGCATCAGTGAACAATATTTGAGAATTGCTGCAGACTATCAGTTGGATTCAAGTCTGGTGTGTCACTGGCCTGTTCTAACAGATTAAACATACTTTGGTGGTGTCTAAAGTTGGTCCTTGCATGTTTTAGATGTTGCTTTGGTTCAACACGCCTCGATCAAATGGGGAACTGGGGAACTTAAAGTGATGTCAAGAAGGGATCATTCAGTGATTTAAATCAGCTGTGTTGGAACAAGGATGCATCTAACACATGCAGGGCACTAACCCTTGAGGATTGAAGATGGA